AAAGATGTTCTTCTTTAGAAGACAAGTTATAAATTATTAAAAAATAACATAACTAGGAAAAGCAAATTTTGTGTTTGATAGTCGATTTTTCACATTGACGGTCTATTTCCATCCACTTATACATGTTACCCTATATCTCCGTCCTTTACGTTCATAAAATATATTTAAATAATATATAAGTATTTTTAAAATAATATATTTTATTTATATCGTAACACACAAAAATTATTTTTTTTCTTAAAAATATATATTTTCCTTCGTCCGAAACACACAAAAACCTTTATATGCAGGGGCAAAGCCACGTAGGCTTCAGGGTATCCAATTCTCGAAAAAAATTGCTATATCACGTACAATTTTAATTTAATATTGGTATATATAAAAATTAGACCTCTTGAAATGGTTAAATGAGACGCAGTGGAGTTGGCAATAGCTATCACATCCTTACACCATGCTTGGGTTCAATTCCCTTTTGTAGCGTATTGGTTGATTGTGTCATGAACCCCTTTCTCTCAAATTATATCACCTATTAACAATAGAATCTCAATAATTTTTTTTCTCTTTCAGTTCTTTTATTTTAAAACAAAATACCAACATACTATTTTAGTTTCAAGTTTCAGTGGACATGAGGAATTATTATAATAGATTACCAAAAAAAGATTGACTTTTCTAGATATTGCTTAACTTAATTATTTGTTTTGATAATTCAAATTATCATTTTATTTTTTAGAAAATACTATCAAAAGTTTTTGTATGTGTGTCTGTATGCGCGCGTGTGCGTGTGTGCGCACGCGTATGTGCGTATGTGCGCGCTCGCGCGCGCGTGAGTGCATATATCTTAAATGGAGTACTATGTATAATTTTGTTGAGGCAAAACCAGACGAAGAGTTTAGGGATTCTAAATTTAATTAATAATCGTCAATCAATTTTGTTAGAACTTCACAAATTAATATACATATAAATTTAATTAATTTTATAGTACAAATATAAAATTCACGAAAAAGTCACTGGATTCATCTGAACTCATGAATCCACCTAGCTCCGCCTCTAAATTCTGTATTAATATTCGTATATAAAGAAAAAGAAGATAAAATGGTTTCACTGGTCGATCGAGGGTGTAGGGATGAAGATTTGTGGAGCTTACCTAGTTTCGATTCTTAGCATTTTTTCAATTTTTTTTTTTGACAATTTAGTAGTTAACCCTTTTTATTTTTTAAAAGAGGGTATCTAACCTAAATTTTATAGTATGTAATTGAAATGTCTATACTATTTGAAGCAAAAGAACTAACTTATCTCATATTAAAGATATATAATGGTATTCTCCACTCGTTTAATTTCTAAGTTCAAATTCTTTTTATCAGTTTTAAAAAGAATTATATATGTTAAATATATAGTTATATAAATATCTACGACTTATTTTAGATCACAAATTTTAAAAAAAATATGAATATTTTAAATTTTTTTATCAAATTAAATAACGTCACGTAAATTAAATATGATGAAGTAGTCGTTTAGTAGTCGGTGATGTGCTTAAAAAAGAGAAAAACCACTTGGCCCCCCTATGCCAAGACAATTAGGGCTACTTATATATCTTAGATATGAATTCATTCAAAAAAAAATTCCCTTCTTACCTTTTCTCAACCAAGTAGCACATGTACATTAACAATTATCATATTACTAAAAATGAAAAAAGTAATAAAATGAGCTAGTCCTAATTATAAGGTTCTTACTGATGGAGGTTGCATATGTTATTTGCCACACTATAACTAGCGCAAGCGTTTTTTTATCGAGAATTTTTGTATATCAAGGCTTGAATCTAAAATTGCTGATTAAAAATAGAGCAATCTCATTCATTGTTGGACGTCCTTTGATCGTAGAATCATAATACTTTACTATTTTGTTTATAATATATAGGTTTATGAATAATAGAAATATTTATATGAAACAATTTTTCATTCATATTTTTAGAATTTTATTACTACTAATTGTTTCCCTCCCAAAAAATCGTAAAACTTTCTTGATAGAAATAATTTATGTTAGAAAGAAGAGCAACAAAAATTAGTAGAGTGGGAATTTCCTTATTCAATGGGAACAATAATGATAAGGGCTTGATTGCGATGAGTGATTCTCAACTAAGATGACCCCATCTAAGTGCTGCTCAAGCACTTTTGATGGAGTTTCAATTTATTCGTGTGATTTTGATTTGAACAGGTTTGAAGTTTAATTAAAAAAAATATAAGCTTTTAAAACTCGTAGTCTTAAACTAAAGATTGAAATGTATGGTACAATTTTTTTTACTTTTTTTAAGAATACTTGTAATAATCTTATTATTGTTAAAGAATGACTTTCACATTTCACTCATCCCTCAAATTTGGAGGTCCAAGGTAAGTGACTTACTTTCGGTTTACCATACCCCATGCATAAAATTTTTGTTAGATCAAATGTATTACGGTCGTTGTTTGAATTTTTTGTCTGACTTTCACTTGACACTTCCAGTGAAGGTCGGATATGTACCACTTATACCATCAGCAGATGGATTAATTACCACTAGTTCCATGCCACCCAACATCTTCTTTTTTTGAGGATCGACACGTATGTATCAAAATGCTTCTTAATCTTGCAGTTCTGAATATATCCGATGAAAAGTTATAATTAAAAAGCTGTCACAAAGAAAAAGATGGAGTTGAAATGAAGGAAGTATTCTTTTCCTTTTCACTATTTAGCTATATGTTTTATGATCTTACCACCAATCAAATCTCATGTGAGTTCTTTATATAACTTCACAATTCACATACATCTATAATCAATCAATGTTTGTAGTGACAGAATCAAAATTTTAATTTAACAAATATAAAAAAAAACAAGTGCACAAAAAATTCAACATAGATGAAAAAAATATAGATGATTCCACATTGGGGACAGCCAAATAATGTGAATGGCCTACACTTGCATGATGAAGCAACCTTGATTGGCTTACTTGCTTCAATCATTACATCAATACTTATATATTACAGTAGCTAGCACGCACGAGCTATATATCTTTATGGTTGTAGCCACTTTAAATAAACATTGTTATTCGATACTGGAATTAACTTTATCGATTGATTGCAAGTCTAACTAATAAAATCGTGTTGAAAGAAAATTCTTAATTTATGAATGGAGAAACTTTTAAATCTTGTCTGTTAATATATGTAGATTCCCATATCTTGAAAGCAACAAATCTTATCATCCAGCAAGGAAAATATATATTCATCTCTTGAGTTGGCCTTTCTTTAGTTAATTTGTTGAAAGCTAACTACCTATAAAAGGTGGGCTACATTTTAGGGGGAAAAGAGATGTAAAACATAAGTGTGTTTTACGTTGACCTATAAGACGAGTTCGGAGCCTAAAGGGTGAAAAATGTTAACAAAATTTTCAAAATGATATGTGAAAATACTTTCTTATCCGTCGGAGTTCTGAAAAATTGCTTCTAGAGCAGCGATTTGTAAATTTGCATTTTTTTAAAAAGAAACATAAATCACTGCACTCGCGACAATTTACAAAATATTTTTTTTTAAAATTCTTTTTAAAGGAAATCGCTACAAAAGCAGCGATTTACGTAAAAAAAAATTTAATTTTTAAATAAATCACTGCAATTGTAGCGATTTACATATTTTAATTTTTAGTAAATCACTGAATATAATATATTTTTTTTAAATTTTAAAGCTAAATTTACATAATGGAGTCTCTTGGAGTAAATGCCTATCGATTTTCCATTTCTTGGAGTATAGTTTTTACCCAGTATGTTTCTTTTTCTTTCTTTCTTCATTATAACTTATTATGCATTTAATAAAATTAGGTATTAAATGATCAATTAATAAAAATTTAGGTAAATCGCTGCATTTGCAGAAATTTACTTTAAAATTAAAAAAAATATATATATATTATTAAATCGTTGTAAGCGCAGCAATTTACTTAATTTTTTTTTAAAAAAATATTACGTAAATTGCTGCAACTGCAGCAATTTGTTTTAATTTTTTTTTAAAAATGCAAATGTACAAATCGTTGCTATAGCAGCGATTTTTCAAAACTCCGGCGAACAAAACCGCTGCTTCCTCACAGCAATTTAACTGTTTTGGTATAAAAAAAAATTCATATACCATTTTAGAAACTTTATAATATTTTTCACCCTTTAAGCTCCGGACTGCCTATAAGACCATAGTCCACGATTCAAAAATTCACTCATATTCGACTTTGACTGTTTCATTGCGATTTGTGTGCTTTTCACTTTTGGAAATTTATATCAACGAAGAACTTTACCAAATTTTTAAATGTATTCTTTCACTAATTTTTAAGCGAAAAAATACTTTCTCCATTCATTTTTACTTGTCTAATATTTTAAAAATATATAATACAATTATTTATTTCCAAATCATTTCTTAAGACAAAAAACTATACACCAATTTATATGAGTATTTGTGATAAAATACTAACACTAGTAATTATATCTTAAGAACATGCGAGGTCCAAAAAAATGAATGGAAGAAGCCAAAGATCTCAAGTGCTTCAAGCCTCAAGGAAAAGAATTTATCTTAGGCTGATATTAATTATTATACGAGAAAATTTTCAAAGCAGCAAGGCTGAGTTAGTAATGAGATATTAGTCGAAAGACAGAAATGAAACATATTATTTCCAAATTATACAGAATATTTTTAATGACTTCATTATAAGCAAGTAGTATTCAAGGTAGGAGATGAAAAATCACATATATGTTGACAAGGGTTTACAATTCTTAAGAAAATATTAGTATACAAATCAAGCAAAATAAATCTGAAGTAATCGATGGGGCACTTTTATAAAATGTAAGATTTTGGGGCAAAAACAAGTTTGAAGTAGCTTTTGAGATTTGAAAACTGATCTCCCAAAAACTAGATGATTTCTGACTAAAGATAATAATTCTACAAGATACTTCCAAAATCTGTGACAAAATGAATCCTTAGATATTTCACTAACATGGAAAAAACTGAGAGAATGAAATTTTGAATATATATATTCTCTTTTTCACCACAACGTTGTAGAAATAATTGAGTATCAGTTTATCTACTTTGGACCAAAAAATTCAACTTACCCTTTTCCATAGCAATAATAAAGCCAAGCAGAAGTAACTAGAATAATTTGATTGTGAGGTAAACTATAAACATATTAGAGAAGAGATTAATAATTGGACATCTAATAATGCTCCTAACCTTCTATAGATCCAAAGAGTTGTAAGATTCTAAACCTTCTTGATATTCCTCGTCCATGAAATCCTCTTTCTGGAAACAATCATCGTCAAATAGGAAGGTTGGGGCTTCTTTATGCTTATGGGAGTTACGATCATTTAATCCGATGACTGAAATAATCTTCTCCCTGATGCAATTTCCAATATTATTAATGTTAACCTCTTGAGACTGTACCCCGAGAAGAGAACAACATTCTTCTTGGAAGTTCAAGTCATTGGAGGAAAAGATCAGGTGAGCAAGCGTTTTTGCAAGGTCAGGTGCATAATCACAGGTCTGTGGGAGAAACAAATTTAGAACCTTAGCTATGTACGCGAAGGAAAACTGAAATTTTGGCCATTTCAAGCTCAAACAAGATCATAATCAGGTAGAAGGTGTATCGAGATTTTAAATTGGTTCATGTGGAAATCCTATTGCACCTATTGCTAAGTTATATACAAAACTATTCAAATATATAGCAAATGTCTGGGATATAGAGGTTGCGGATACATTAGCTACTGTCAAACTACGTACGCCCCTGACCATGGATATGGGTACTGAATTTAAAAGGATTCTGCAGAAACATATGAAAGCATATGCACTTCCAGCTAATAAAAATGCTATATATCTGACAACCTGGAACAACGGTGCTAAATAGATGATGCTGTAAAAGCCATTCCCAGTAAAAAGGAGAATTTTTTCTAGGAAGCTTTCATCCCCAATGAGGCAATGAGAATAGATTTCTTGCCAATCGATGCTCTTATTTATGTTTGAATAATTGTCATCCCTTATTCAGATTCAATCAGCACTAGTCATATGGTCTAAAGAATGTTAATTCCACAGCATGCCTAGTTTCTGTATGTGAATTACCTAGCCAACTGGAATTACTGAATGCTGTCTGCTTAGCACTCTTTAAAAATCCGTATCAAAAGAAGAAGAAGAAGAAGAAGAAGAAAAAACTACTTTTTCTGCTTCACAATTGGGTATGGACGTATAAGAATGCAGAATAGATCGAACAACGGGAGGTATTTTGTTCATAGCCAAGCCAATACCAGGAACTAGAAAATCCAATGACCATAAAGAATGCAAAGAAGAGTGAAAACATTACCTTAAGTGCACGTGTACTTAGGAGAACCCCTTGATTATTTTCTTTCAAGTCATCCAAAGCACACTTGATAGCTTTTCTAGCTAGATTTCGATCAGGTGAACTGCTTTCTGCAACCCACTGTTTCACCTTGTCAGCAAGTTAAGCAAAAGACAATACTCATTGTTTGAAGTTAATGCTAAGAGTGTATGACCATGTCAATTCTCATGGATATGTATTATATTATGATGGATATTTTCTATGGTAACAATGGATGGCAATATGAATTTGTAAATCTGGTGCCAGGTTCTCCCATTCCAGCATTACACTATCATCATGATCTGCAACACTCCGCAGAGCCAACCCATAGCTTTTCCAGTTGATGCTTGTGAATGCATCGAGGGATGACGGAGCAATAGAACAAGGTACAAAGTCTTTGAAATATAAGATCTGAAATCAGGCATAGAAGATCATTAATACAAATTAAAGAAACACAAACAAACTACAATACTGAAAAGAAAATGTGAAGGCGTGCAAGATGCTGGCTTAACTGAAAGAAGACGAGCAAGTAATGCTTAGTGATAAATTTTTAAAAACTTCAACAGCAGCTCATCAACAGATATATGGAACTTAATTTTTAAAAAAATTGCTTAAATATTTTGTTAATCTGAATATTGCCATTTCAAAGATCTTGGGGTTGATTAACTTAAACTCCAACAGGAGGGAGGTTTGTGATTAGTGTATAACTTAAGCCAAAGCTCACTTGTATTACTGTCAACTGGAACAAGCCCTCAATTTGTATTATTCAGGGTCGGAATATGACCCAAACTATTAACAACGATCTGTCCTTGGCAACGGGCGAAGAACCTGTTACTACTGTCAATCTTTAAATATTATAATATAGTAACCCTTTGATCGGAAAAAAAAAGTGGAACAAGCCTACTCAAAATTATGTCAAACTCAACACTGATGGCAGTTCAATGTTAGAAGGGAACTAGCTGGAGAAGGGGGGGTTCTAAGAGGTCATCAGGGAAAAATTGTCATGGCCTTCTTAGGGCTTCTTCCTTTAAGTTCTAGAAATGCTGGGTGTTGCAGCTAGCGCTGGCTTGCAGGGGTTTCCAGATAATGGAATTACAATGTGCTACTCGAAATGGACTTTAAAATAGTAGTGGATATGATCAATGGCATCAGTGAACCATCAAAGCTACTTGATATCCAGAATCCAGAATATCTTGACAAGCACAAACGGAAGGGGAACTCAATGCCATGGAAGATGGGCTAGCTAAGTTTGAAGCTATCAAACAATCTTACAGAATTTCTATATCTGCTAATGAGCTCCCTCAAGCAGTGAGAGGAGTTTATATCATGGATAAAGTTGGCTTTGCTAACTTTAGAATCAAGACACAGAAAAAAGGAATTGGTCAAGGTTAGTGAGTAAGTGAGGATTCATATTGGAATCTTCATATGTTCATCGCACCTGTTTTGTGAGCTTAACTGATAAATAGGATTTCTCCAAAACCTTCCTTTGTGTCCTCACTTGTATTTCGTTTACTTTGGAGATTAGATATTAAGTCCCCCTCCATCGTATACTTTTGGAAACAACTGTAAGGACTAGAAATGGCTGGGACAGCCAACCTATAACTTGTATAGTTCACTTAGCAAAAACTTTTGATATCCTCGAAGTTTAATAAGCAATATTTAATTAGACTCAATACCAGAGACTATATTTGTCCACAGTATAATAAGATCGGATTATTAATGTATCCTGTTTGGTATACACTGGGTATACTCTAGATTTTAGGAAATAGTTTATTTTATATTACAATATGAAAATCACACTTTCCACATAGAATTTTGTTTCCTGATATGTAAATCTATTTATGAACATAAATGGAGCCACATGGTCCGTGAGGATTATATTGCCAACCCCAACTTGCTTGGGATTGAGACATAGTTGTTGTATGTGTAATGTAACATATCCAATCCAATGTCATCAAGATGGCCATAAAGAAAAAGGTCCACTTCTTGGCCCTCAGAAGTTCAAAAATATTTTTCAGTTATTACTCACATAAATAGCTATCTACTCCATGATGTAGGGGAAATTGCATAAATCTTAGCCTCCACACACCATAAAGTGCACAAGGTTCTTCACCTTGTGCACCATGCTTATATGAAAACAAGACATTCATAGTGATAAAAGATCCCGGAAAGTTGAAATCCCAAAGAATGCATATCTGTGATATTATCATTAGTTTTCACAATCCACACATTCTAGGACAACAAATGAACTCAAAACACAAGTTAAAAGATGTTGGGAAAGAATATGCAACATGGCATCTTTACAGTGAACTATTATCTAACATTTGATCACAACATAATTAATAAAGCAGATATTGGAATGCAAACATATTTTATGCTTTTAAGAGTCTTCTTCAATTAATCCAAAGCAAACCTCTGTTTTCATGTCTTGTTCACTGATGCTGGAAGAATGAACTAGTTCTGACATCTCATTGATAATCACAACAGCTTCCACCACCTGGCTATTTCCCTGAGAACTATCTGAAGAATTAGCAACCCCAGTTCCAACCTTCAGGTTTTCCCTGAAATAAGAAACAACGACTTTATGTACAGCCGTGTTTAATGCAATGCACATTGATATTTTCGTTTTGTTTTTGGCTCTGCACAACAGTTACATCTCCAAAGATCTTATATGAGATGCTGCAATTTTACATATACCATATGAGCCGTTTAGCACCACAAATAGATCTTAACTAAATTACATTATCAAACTTAAATCCTCCTACATCAAATTGAAGGAGTCAATTGAGCTGTCAACCAGATTTTAAATAACTTAAGTACTACTTCCTGCATGCTACATGTGATCAATTGTCTTGCCTCTACTCCTCCTTCAGTCTGCTTCTATGGTTGGAGTTCTAGCATTTCCTTTTATGTTTGATCCTGATTTTCTCTCACCTGGTCCAGTGTATCCCAAGCTTCTTTTTCCCATCTTCACTCAATCTAACTATTTGTAACCAGTATTTCAAGAAGGTAAAATCTACAAATTGTATATTTCAGAACAATAATGCACTACTTTATATCACACTGAAGTAGCTTAATGAACGGTCAGGCATACAGACAAAACCACATAAGAAAGAGAGAAGAACTGCAAATGTCACACTTTTTAATGGGAAAATTGTAGAATGAAAGGCTAGCTTAAAGTTAGTAGATGAAATAGTTCATGTAAAACAAGGAAATGACAAAGTTCAGGGTAACTATGTCAAAGTGTACTCTTTGTTATCTTTTTATATTAGCACCTAAGAATTATGATTTCAACATGTGGAAGTTAGACCTACTAATACATTATATCCAACCTTCAACAAAAACTAGAGGTTGGAATGCATCATCATTCATTAACCAAAACCTAGCACCTTTCTAGTACTTACCCAATTGAGAAGCAAGTTTGGTGCTTGCGAATATAATCCTTGAGTCCCACTTTCAAGCTTTCTATGCTTTCAATAGGAGAATATGCAGAGCTGCCCTCAATTGCCAGAATACGACTTTCAATCTGTGAACTCAAAGGATCATCACCACATACTAAGAGTTCCATTACAACTTTCTGTAAGAAGAGAAACAAGCCATCAGCCACAGAGAGGTAGTGGTCCTAGGCTCCTAGGTAACTCCTAGGAAACAGGATAGGGAAAAAGGTAAGCTTTTCAAAATATAACAAGGCCAAAGAAGTAGGTTAAAATGACATATAAAAGCTTAAAACTTTCGAATTTTAATGCGAATCTGGTAACAAAAGAAATATTTTTGACATGGTGAACTCATCCAAAATATATACACTTGCATTTAGTAGGTTCACACTGAACGCCTTGAGCTGTCTGAGCAGTTAGTAGCTATGATTTATAAGAGGGGTCTATAGAGAAGATAGTTGCATTTGATTTGAATATAAAGCATTTCAAGAAAAGTAATGAACTAACCGGAATCTTCAGAAGGATCATCTGCGTAGATAGCAATGAAAAACTGTAGTTAGAGAATTTTTCATACAATTTAGGAAATCATAGCTAGAATCAGCTGATAGACATGAAAATGAACCTTTTGAAGAAAGCAAGTAATCTCTGCCAACAAGTCATCAAGGCTCTTGGATATTGATATTGATACTTCAGTCCCACTGCAAGGTATAAGTAATTAACCATGTGCGGAAAGACAGAAGCATAGAAAGGAAGGAAAAGACTAGATGGGTATGGTCAAGAGAAAACTAATTTAAGAGTAGCATCACATGGATGGAGCCCCTGAAAATGGCATACCTGAATTTGGCACCATTCTTTGCAGTTGAGGGTAGCTTTGTCAGTCTTCCAGCAGAATTAGAATCTTTTAGATTTACGTTTAAATTGTGTATCTCACTATCAGATGTGCCTGCAACTTTCATCCCTCAGTTTAGACAACCAAATGTTCTCAATCCTATGAGATATAGGAGTACTTCCAACGTTGTCTAATTGTCAAAGGTAAGAAATATGTTATATATGTAAAACTTATATAAAGTTATAAACCTGTCATTATGAAAGATAATTATATCCAGAAGCCATTCTTCCAAAGCAATTCCAACAGTTTATTACTAGGAGATAATGATCACCCTAAGCTAAAAGACAAGTTGTGTGAGCTTGATTGGTTTTTGTTAAGTTGGATACCAACATAAAGTTCGATGAACTGTCAAACTGCATCAATTCCGCTTTTTAGTGTATACAACCTTTGTGAAGTTGACACAGATGATCATGTATTCTGTCATTAAAATTTACTGGTTAAGGAACTGTATCATTCAAGACGTGATTAGCCAGGATTCAGAGAAGAGTTAGCGATGAGACGTTCTGAGTAAACAGTTGATCCCAATTTACATTGTTCACAAGATACAAGTTAGAAAAATGAGGATGTTCAGATGGATGTGTGGGCATTCTAGGAGAGATAAGATTATAATTGAAGATATCCAGGACAAAGTGGCAGTGGCCTCCGTGGTGGACAAGCTGAGGGAAGCGAACGCCTGAGATGGTTTGGGCATAGAAGAGGAGAGGTACAGATGCAAGGAGGCGTGAGAGGCTGGATATAGTGGGTAAGAGGAAAGGTAGAGGTTGACCGAAGAAGTATTGGGTAGAGCTGTAGAGGTGATTAGATAGGACATGGTGCAGCTTCAACTTACCGAGGACACGAGGATATGGAGATCGTGGATTAGGGTAGAAAGTTAGTAGGTAGTTGAGTTCTATCTCACTTTTCAGCGAGATTAGGCTTGTCAGGAGTCTGGAAGTATCGCGTATGTTGTAGTATTAGTCTTATACATGTTTTTTTTCTTGCTTTTGATAGTTGTTATCATATATCTTTTTTGTAATTCGATTACCGCATTATTTCGTTATTGGAACTGTTCTTTCTTTGGACAGTATGTACTACTTCGCTTATTAATTGACCTGTTTTCTACACTGCCTTTTACATAATTATTTTGATTTGTTGTATTTGAGCAGAGGGTCTCATAGAAACAGCCTCTCTACCTCCACGAGGTAGGAATAAGAATTGTGTACACTCTATACTCCCCAGACCTTACTTGTGGAATTACATTGTACCCTCCCTAGACTCCACATATGAGAAGTAGTTGTTGTAATTTACCATAAGAAAATGTATAGTTGCTTTATTGGTAATGCCTCTTTTCTATTTTAGCGTTTCAAGGTTCTGAGACTGTTCGAATAGCAAAACCAAAATGTTGTGGCGTTATTCAACCTCTAAGTATCTGCACTTTAGAAAGCTGCCTCTAATCTTCAGGTCATTATCAAATCCCTCAAAGTACAAAGGAAAGAACAGGACTAGCTAGCTGTCATGCATAAACTGCCACCAAACCATAGACTAATGGAAAAACCAATCAAATCTCAGCTCACAAGAGTTTTAGAAAACTAATGAAGCAAAGTTCAGAGGAGCAGAAGGCAAGCAAGAAGTTCATCCTCTACAGTTGAAGTAGTTACAGTACTTTATTGATACAACTTCAATCATACATCACAAAAATATTACTACTATTTTCAAAATTTCTCAATTTTTATCCTAACGACAAATCTGACTAGGCAAAAGAATTATTCACCTAGAAGGGTAAGACTTACTTGTAGTTGCAAGAGAAATCATCCCATCTGCAATGTAAATATACTATATTATCAGCGCTCCTAACAGGTGGTATAAAAAAACTCATGGAAGGCTTTTCAATAGTATCTTCCAGGCAGGACGACATTAAAGGCCGAAACACATAATCTTGAGTTGCAATACCTGTGAAATGCGGTGAGAAAATTATAAATTGAATTTTTATGTTAGTTATTTATTTTTCCTCTCTTTATGTTGTTTTCCATTTTTCTTGTTTGGCGGCCATGGGAGTAAAACAAAGGCATTTATGCAACCAGTACACTTGATGAATATTCTCTTACTTTTTCCCCTAGAATCATCATATTTCTTTCTCTTTCATCTCACCCCACAATATACTCCTCTTTCTCAGCTCCCTAATCTGTTAGCTCAAATCTGAAGAACAATGTTCCAACTTCCAAGTATCTCAAGTTGTGCATCAAATTATGCTTCTACTCCAAGGGATGGAGTAGACAGTGATGTTTTCTAGTACTTTAATCAGCATTTTAGTTGGTCAGAATAAATTTTAGTCATGGATTAAGGGACATGCACCATCTGGAACCACATGAGCAATTGTCTCGGTGTTGTGCCTAAACACGAAAATAGATCGTTACTCCTCTTGTCCCAATATGTGTCACTTTTCACTTTTTGATAGTCAATTTGACTAATCTTCAAACTTCAAAACAATATTGGATTAGATTAAACCAATACTTTAGAATTAAAATTTAAATATCCCAAAAACAATACGAAAATTATTATAAGTTGCAATTCTTCACATATCAATGTGGTGAAAAAATATATCTTAAAATGTTGGTCGAAGTTCTTTTAGTGTGAGGTCTTGTTTCCTTCATATGTACGAGACACATATATGTTTAGATGAGAGCTCTGTGTCTACTGAACCTTAAACCAAAGCTATGTGTGTATCAGGTATAACTCTCTGAGAAATATAAGTTGGGAAAAATAGAGTCAAAACTTAATAAGCATGTAATCGCCAATTTCTTACCCCATTGATTAGCCAGAGTAGGATCGTCTCCGTATTTCAGATATTGGTAATCCTCCGGTTTGCTCCCAACACCAGTATCAGAAACTGTTGGTGAGAAAAATTTAATGATTCATTATCATAGATTCATTCTGCTAACTGTATTAACACAATAAATCGAACTGCAGCTCGAATTTCAAATTACAACTCTGCATATTGTTATGTAAACAGCAATTTCATTTTCCCATTACAAGCACAAAAAAGTTTCGGATCAGAAAGAAGGAAAAATTACTCGCAATTGTGATTTTCATAAATCCAGAAAAAACTAGTCCATGCGCCTTCCAAACTGAATCACTCTCGCATGACACATCTTCTTATACCATCATAGACATAAATATATAGAAGTACGGCATTACGTTGAGACAACAGATACGAAACACACACTCTTATAGAGAGAGATATTGCCTGATATTCGAACGAGCGGGAGTGCAAATCGAGAAAACGAGGTCAATTTCACGGATAATCTACAAAGTTCATCGGACATGCGGCATCGTTGAACGGCGCAGAAAATGAGCTGCAAAAGTAGAAGAAGAGTGAAAGTAAAGTGAATAAATTGTAAGTAATGCCAAGTTGAAATTGGATTAGAAATGCATGGTGGCTATGTTTGGGAGGAAAAAAAATCACATGTTTATAGAGCATTTTCACAGAAGAGATTTCGATCTCCATTGAAGTTGCAGTATGCAGAGGAAGAAGCACGCACTGTATACCCGCCAATTGCAATCATCTGGAACTTTGGGTGCTTCGGGTGTGTTTATATTGCCGCTTAAAGCCTCGAACAAATTTAGAATTATAATTTAAATTAATGAATAACCAATACTTTCATATCCATAATTCTTTTGTAACAACGAATCGAACCTAACATTATTATAAATTTCATTTTCGTTGCTGTTTATATTTTCACATGTATATCGTGTCTTTCGTAGTCAAAGAAAAAAATATCCATCATACGTCTCTAAATTTGAGAACTTCATTTCTTAAGCAACCATAGATTATAATTTATTTTTCTATAATAATATGGAATACTATATTAAAGTTTTCATATAAAATGAAAGAATTATTAAAAGAAACTTGTCATTTTTGGAGTAGAATTTAAATTTACTCCATTTGATTTTGACTTGGACATACAACTAATACACTTGAGTTGTACCTATATTTCACATTCTTATATGGAACCCAGACAACAACCTATCTTATATTGACATTTGATTTTAACTTGTACAAACCACTAATATGCTTACGTCGCTCCCGTTCATGGACCTATCTTATATTGGCAAAGGAAGACATAATTCAAGTGTCACTTAATACTCGGACTAATCGACTTCAGCCTAGCTACACCTGATCAAAGTAATAAAACCGAAGCCATACTTATTTCTTGAAATTTCTCTCTTTAATAGACTTAGTTTAGCCTCCTAAACTATGTCAATCAGTCCATAGCTCAAGTCGATCCTCCCCTTGGCACTTCACCTATAGCTAATCTCAAGTCTATTTTTCTCGACTGAACGGGCCAATATCACTTGGCACTTCACCTAATGGCTAATCTCAAGCCTCTTTCTCTCAACCAGAACATGTGAGGTTACATGCATCTGCAGAAGACTGGCGAAACGGTAGGATTATGCAATGTGCTGCAAAATAAAAGTCTCTCTGATTTAATGATTAATGTTCTTAAATCTGTTGGAACAACACAAAAACGACACCCGTAAGTTAAAAAACAAAAATACAACGTATATGCAAAAATTGATGATAAACTTGAAAAAAAGCACAAATCTCAGGGAGAAGTTGACTCAAGCAAGCCTGAGTATTATAGGAGCGCACAACAGGAAGAACAGAGAGAAGCTCCAAATAGGAACTACACACCCAAGATAATCAACTGTCTGGAAAACAGTGACCATTTTGCACCTGCCAACCCTGCATCTTAGTTGGATAATATGCTAGCAAGACTTAAATGAAAAAAATTAATGGAAATGATGTCTTAAGTTTGAATTTTTTAAGAAGGTTCATAATCACCTAAAACACAGAAAATGTTAGTTAATCTGACAACAGCGCCGCATATGTTACAGTTGGTTGGTCAATCTCTCCCGTCATCTAACCATAAACTACAAGAATGAGAAGCAACAGGGGCAGGGAAGAACAGCGAAAAGAGGGGAGAAGAGATCTTTTAACTCCTAGGATAACTGAAAACTAAAAGATCATAAAACAAAAAGGTCATGGTTTACTATCTTAATCTTTCAAGCTATCCAAAAAGCCCTGCAACTCTTTTAAGCCTTCTGCAGAAATGCTTCTATGCACCCTTCCGCGTGGGACAACCAAGTCGGGAGGTCGCTGCTTTTGGAAACACACCACAACCACAGATAAATTGTCCCCGCTCTTTCTTTTCAGAGCCTCATCAACGAGATCTTTGCAGCACATCACTGGATTATTGTGTTCCTGAAGCTTTCGACGAGCAAAGTCAACAGCATTCTGGCTCATGAATACATCCCATATACCGTCACAGCCTATTATGAGAAACTCGTCCTCTTCTGTAAGTCGGGTACTCATAACTTCAGGTTCTCCACTAAGTGGACCACCATCAATAGATTTTAATCCTTCCAGATGCCAATCTCCTAGAGCACGAGCTACGTTAAGTTGTCCATTCAGGTAGCCATCATACACATATCCTCCAGAAGCTTCAATCCGCTCTTTCTCCCCAAAACAACCAGGTTTGTGATCTCTCGACATCTCAATAGCTTTACCACGACGACAAAGTACAGCTCTACAATCTCCTGCATTTGCCACAACCAGCGAACTGCTTCCCATGCAAAAGATCAAAGCAGAAGTAAGATAAAATATTTAAATGATCCCCTCACTCTAGGCTGATAAACCATATGGATAGCTGGGGTAGTTCAGTGCAGATATCCAAAAAATTATTGACAATATTACAGGCAAATGAACAAAGAGTCGCGGTTTTCATGGACATGCTGCAGATACACCTTTTGGAGAAAATTCCCTCAGAAAAATCTAATATTGAGTGCAGATGGCACTATAAACTCATCTCAAGATAACATATTACTGAAAAGTAACTGAAAGAGCTTCCACAGGGGTGTTTAGTCAAAGTTCTAGTGCCATGAGAATTAGTACAAGTTCCAACCTTTGTTGCCCCTCGGTAGAGCAACTGTACTTGCCAAACTGCAAGGATTGAGGTACATAGGTGTGTGAAAAATACAGGAATTTATCGAAGTTTCCAACAAGACATCTATAGAGAGCCTCAAGCAAATAATTTAACTGCAAGATCTTACATGTTGTATATCTTGGACATAACAAATTACATTTAGAACTTAGCAGTGAAACAAGTATCCACTGATCAAAAACAGAAAAACTATGAGAAAATTGAAAATATTCTAGTAGAAATGTAGTGCAGATGTTCTAGTTGAAAAGACACAGAATTCCTACAAATTAATGGTACCAAATTGCTTTAAAATTTAAGGCCACCTTGAACCTGGCTTAACTCATTGCCCCATTCACAAAAAATGAAATATAAATGGAAACTAAACGGTGCAACAAATGAAATTTTAAGTCAACAACAGATAATTAAAGTTGAGAGCAAGTGAACCTTCCAATAACAAGGGCTGCCAAAGCAGTGGTACCGGAAGCAAGATCAGCATCCAAGTTGCAGGCTTCTGCGAAAGCAGTATCAGTTTGCAAAAATGCAGAAGAAATTGCCCTATCAATCTGCCTTGGGAAGTCTTCATCCTCAGCAATAAACCTTGGTAAATGGTTGCAAGCAAAGTCAGCTGCATGTTTTCCTCCATGTCCATCGAAAACCTTGCATTAAGAAAAAGAAAAAGGTTGAGTTTTAATAGATCAAACAATTTTTTAAAACTATATCCACCATGGACTATGCATATGCAAAATGTCTAAAAGCTTTCACAACCACAAACATCAAAAAGCAAGAAGACTTTCAATCTGTAAGGGAGCTTGATCTTAAAGTCAATATTATTCAGTTTCATTGCACAAAAGCAACACAAAAAAGGTCTACACTCTAAATTAAATTTTGAAATGTCTAAAACGGATCCCAAAATTTGAATTTTTCTTTCCTCAGCCAAGAAAGTAATCACAGCTCTTGGTGTTACTTCAAGTTCCACAGAAACACCAGTTCAGAGAATACTCCAGGCAATTGTTGCTATTGGAAACATAATGAAATGAAACAGAGTGGGTAAATAAGCAACTCCTTGAACACACTAATCAGCTTGAAACTTCTTTATCACCATTCAGCTCCAGTACTGTCTTGATGGTGGCAGCATAATGACTAGTTAATGATTATTTCAAACACCAAACAGTACATGCTTGAAATGATTTTAGTGATAAACTTTTTGTATGAAGTGAATGATTTTACTGATATCATTAATTTTGAGTATGAGGAGAAACATTCCAACTCCCTCCCCTTCAAGGATAAAAAGTGGCCATGCAATGTGAACTTAAGGGGGGGCAGGCCTTATAAATTCCCTTTCCTCAGTTTTATCAATATGTACAACTAGCTGTGGGAAGAAAATAACATCAAAAACTTAAAACATAAGCCGTCTAACTATTTATTTAATCAATACATTCCCTCCTGGCACATCAGTTTCCAACATTCCCAAAGCATGTAGAGTGGAAAGGGCTACCGGCCGTCTAGCAATTCCAGCCAAGTACCATGAAATTACAGCCAATCCCACCAATTTATTACGGAAAAAAAAAGAACTGGTACAGAAAAATTTAGAAACTGCACTTTGTTCTGAAACTTCAAAGTGCCCATTGTCTGTGCTTCTTTCCTCCTTTTTCAACGATTTGTACTTTTATGACTTGTGAGCCTCAGGTTGACAGTTCATTTTTCATGTTAGTTCACTATCTGAACTTGAAGAGTGTGGATCTAGAGCTATTTACATAGCACTAGAATTGATTTAGACTTGTGTAATGCTAACGCAAACAAACAGATCAAGTCAACATACAGGTACCAAATACGTCTGAATATCCGAATATGAAATTAAAATAAGAAAAATAAAAAGGTAGCACAATGTTCACTGAACCAGGGAAGCTGCAGCAATCAGGCATTGCTTCCCTGTCAAAATGTTGAATAATTATAACATAATTTATCCCCAACTGTGTGGAGTTAGAGTTGCCACCGTATGTAATCAACTGATACTTTTTCTATAAAACAAAAATTAATATCATGCCTCAAGTTCGTGAAGTGCAAGAGTGGAAAAAGTTGTTACCCCATAGAATGCATGAGTCCCTTCATTAGAACCAGCTGTTCTATGGTGGCTCATTAAATTGTCGGCACACACATAAACATCTTCCATGCTTGACCGAGATCCAATGTCAGCCCAAGCACCTGAGCGAAGTATGGGAAGGTACTCTGCTGCATGATCACCTGTAGCTGTTCTTGGTTCAAGAGGAACATCTGACAACTTGGTTCTCACCTGGTAAATCTCCACTAAAAACTTCAATACACATTCTGAGAGTTTCAAGTTCTTTGGCTAGCAACTAATACAAAGAAAGATAAAAGTACAAAGTAACACACCATAATTTCCAGATAAAGAGACCAGAAAAACTTAATAAAATAAATCAGTCAAACAAACAAAGTATACGGATCCATTAGTTCAAATATTAAACTTATATTATTTCAAAAACTACCCTACTAAGAATTTTCATATAAACCTAGGACAAAATTCATATTAGATTAATGGAAGAGGTATACATTTCAAAGAATCACAAGCAATAAACCAAGAAATTACATCCTCCTAGTAGATGCAATTCAACTTAGTATCACCAAGGCTTAAAGTTAAGTTCTGTAGAGTGGTGGTAGACCAACATTGTTGTATGGGGCTGAGTGATGCCAGTCAAGAATGCACATGTTCAGCAGATGAAGTTTTAAGAGATGAAGATGCTAAGATGAATGTGTGGACATACTCGGAGAGCTATGATAAAGAACAAAGCTATTTGGGACAAGGTGGGAGTGACATTAGTGATGGACAAGATGAGGATTTTTAGATGGGTGTGTGTGGACATGTGTGAACATACTCGGAAAGATAAGGATTAGAAACACTTGTGCCCTGTAAATTTCAACATTTAATTTTGCACAGACATCAAACACGGTTGGACTATCCAATACCAAACACTTCCACACAACTCCCCACTAAGGCAACAGAATAACCTCCATTGCTTTAGAAAATACATACGATAACCTTCCTAACTTTGGTTGCTATCTTTATCAAAAGTAGCTATAGATATAAGCAAAAACACATTAATACCATACTGGGATATGCAACAAACAAAACAATTGTTTCCTTTCTGCACTAAGACAACTAACCCAAATTATCAACGAAACAGCAAAATAAGCAAACTACACCTCAATGCCAAACTAGTTAGTATAGATTCTCCGTATCCATTTCAATACTCAATAATTCATCTTTTATAGTAACAAATTAAGTTTTTCTCAAACACCGGATCTAAGGTAAGTACATTCCAACTAGTAACTTTGCAAAGTAATAAATCAAACGGAAAAAAAATAAAAACATTTCCGATAAAGAAGAGAAATTTACCAAAGAGGGGTGTCGAACAAGGGCCTTCTTGGTGGCAGAAGCTACTAAACGGCGATCTCCAGCAAGAGGATTAGGCGGTTTGCTGTTGCTGGAGCTCTCATTTCCTCTGCTACAATTATCAAACATCAATTTACTTTCTTCCATTTTGATTCTCAACCATAACTGCACAGCAAAAAAAAAAAGGTGAATGAATGTAGAAATTTTGCAGAAAATTAGGGATCTTCCGTGCAAATTTGATTGAATCTAGGGTTTAAAACTAAAGGGGATTGTAAAGGGTTTTGAGGAGCGGGAAAATAGGGATTTTTAGGGTGTGGGAGGAAACAGAGAGATTTAGGGATCTCTGGCTCTCAGCGATGTTTTTGAGGTGGGGACTCAACCAAGACGACGGTGATTCCTTTAACAACTAAAAAAGGTTTTCTTATATTGCTAATATAATATAGTTGTCCTCTAAGCCAAAAAAAAAAAAGAGTAATAAAATTGTTTTATACTATCAATAAAATTTAATTTATTATGATATATAGTATCTCATAGAGATAGAGACAAAATTACGTATGATAAAAAAAAATTGTGCTCAAATATTTTTATTTTTATTAGAGTTTACAGTGTTAAATCTTTAGATCGATATGACTCGATAGTAATGACTTTGGCTATGATCAAATTTATTTAACATAAGACTTTCGATATATGTACGCAAGGTAAGGCAAGACTATGAATGTAACATGATCGTAGCTAAAACAAGTTTGTGGGCTATGAATTGAGCAAGGGTAATGGTTAAGGAGAATGGAAACTAATGGCAAGATATGCCTTTTGGAAGTGATTCATTTATGTGACCTTTTGGGTTTTGTTTCGTATAATATGAATGTTGAACTAGATTGAGGGAAAAGAAGAAGCTAAATCGTGCGTGTTAATTTTCCTGTAAAGCCTAAAAAAAAATGTGAATGAGATTGTTTTCCTTTAGCTAGAGGTTCTAGTTTTGAATTTCTGATATTATTATTATTATTTTTTATATTGGAGAATGGCCTAAAATAATCTTCAAATATTTGAATTAGAACAAAATTGTCTTTCATCCATATTTTGGTCTTTGGAATCCTATTGGCGTCAATCTTTTGACTCAAAAATGCCTATATTTCTAACGACGCACACTCACAGGGTGGATGAGAGATAAATTTATACCAAATTGCAAAGTTTAAAGACATTTTGATTCATTAAAATAATTTAAAGTTACTTAACATATGGACTCATGTAATTGCCTTGATTTTGGGTTTCATAATAAATAAAATGAAAAATCACCTCCCTATCCCCCCACTCCTCCCTTTCATTTTTTTTTTCCGAATCTTGTCCATCATTTTAATTTATTTTTTTCAACTAACTTACAAATTAAAAAATGGAGAAAAAAAGGAGAAAAACAACTACATTCATTTACAAATAATTAGTTCACTACAAAATGATTAAATTAAACAACGCATGTATGTATATTACAATTTTTCTTTTGTATGTATTCAAAATTCAAAATAAAAAGAACAGAAATTACATTTTTCTCTATCCCCACTCACAATGAAAATAATACAAATTAAATTTAAAAAATATATGATCATGCAAGTTTATTTCAACTTTTAATTTTTCAATATCCTAATTAATAATAAGAGATTTAAAAAAGAGAGGAGGAAATGAATAAGATAATTGGATAATTGTTAGACAGTTTTATATTTATAAAACATAATAATTTTTTTTAGATCGATCAAACGGGACAAGTATGGACTTTAATTAAATCCCCAATTATGAATTGTGTTATAGTAAATTGGAGGTTGATTCAAAATATACAAAGGAAAATATTATGAAAATAATATTTTTAAAAAATATTATTATAAAGTGAATCGAGTCAAAATATGAATTTGTAATTTTTATTATTTATTCGTGAAGGTTTTAAATCTGGAAAAATCAGATTAGACAACATAATAAATAAATATTTAATAATTTTACTTTAGAAAAAATGTTAAAAATAAGCCAAATATGAACCAAAGATTTATATTGATGGTATTTTTGAGTCAAAAGATTAACGACAGGAGGATTTAAGAGAGGAAAGATAGATGAAGGATAGTTTTATACCAATTCAAATAGTTGAAGACATTTTATACTCTTCTCCTTAATTAAATTCTAATACTAATATTAAATACCGAATGAAAAACAAATTAAAAATAAAGGAATCACTACATCAAAGTTGCGAATTAGTTGTATTAATTAGTATATAGATGTTAAAAATATATTTTGAAAATTACGCATAAAGATTATTAAGAATTTTACAAAGTACTACCATGATTTTATTCTTATTCCACACGTGTGTGTTTTTTAGTTATATATAAAGAACAAGATGCATCACTTTAAATAACGATCTTGTTTTGTGTAGTAAGAGTAGATTGGTCTTTTAAGAGTACTCACTTGCATAAATGATCATGTAATTTAATTGGGTTAATTGGTTGTAATTAATTAACAAGTGTTAAGTGTTAGAAATTATTTTTATGAATGAACAATTACGTATTTGAATGAAATTATTGGAAGTGATAATTAATCGTTCATGTGCTTAGTGGATAAAAAATTGATTATTTGTCATTTTTAATAAAATAACTAAAATATCATTATTATTTTATATAAAAAAAACCCATAAATTTAGATACATATTTGTATAGAAAATGATTATCAATGGATTTGGAATGGGGAATAAGTTCGAGGTTTTGTTTCGAAAGAAGGTATTTGAAGAATTAGAAAAAATATTTAAAACAACATGACAAATGTTTTGTTTAAATTAGAAGTGTTTATAGGCTAAAAAAAATTACAAGTTAAAAATGATCAACTTATAACTATTGAGTATTAATCAAATCTGTAGATAGACTAAAAAGAAAGGGCAAAGAACAGAAATCACATACTTTAAAGATAAAATTATCATTTGTTTTTTATAAGTTTATAATTATAGAAATTCCTTAAACTGATACAATAATACAAGCGCTAATACATTAATCTGATACGCGAGATACATTAATCATTAAGAAAGATACATTACATTTTATACATGATACAATAATCTAATTTACATTTTATACATGTGCACTAATCTGATACGCGAGATACATTAATCTGATGCGCGAGATACATACTCTTAAGGCAAAATTACCATTTGTCCCTAATAAGTTTATAATGACAAAATCCCTCAAATGATACAATAATGTAAGCGTTGATACACTAATCTGATGCGCGAGATACATTAATTGTTAAGTAAGATACATTACATTTTATACATGATACACTAATTTGATGTACATTTTATACATGATACATTAATTTGATGCACAAAATACATTAATTTTAGATGCGCCGATACATTAATTTGATGTGTGAAAATAAGAGATTTTGAGAATTTATAAAATTAATAGGAAATAATAGTAATGAGAGAACTAAAAGGTGAGATTTCTGTCATTTATCCCATAAATGTTTAAGCCAATTTAATCGACTTATAACTTCCATATATCATCAATTATATTATAATCATATCTCAATAATTTAATTGTACAAGTAATTAAATGGATGGGAAAATGCACAGTACCCCCTCGACCTATGCCCGAAATCTCAGAGACACACTTATACTATACTAAGGTCCTATTACCCCCTGAACTTATTTTATAAGTAATTTTCTACCCCTTTTTAGCCTACGTAGCACTATTTTGAAAAAAAAGTCAACCATAGTTGGGCCCACAAGATAGTGCCACGTAGGCTAAAAAGGGGTAAAAAATTATTAATAAAATAAGTTCAGAGGGGTAATAGGACCTTAATATAGTATAAATATGTCTCTGAGATTTCGGGCATAGATTGAAGGATACTTGGACATTATCAAAAGAGTATGAAGAAGAAAATGGACGTTGCTTCAATAAGTGGAAATAGTATTTGATGCTTAAAGTGTTGACATTTGCCTACACGTTTATAAACTAGCATATATATTCAACTTTAAAATATTGTAATTAGTCACTATCAGCTCATACATTAATCCACAAGTAATAAAAAAGATTTCTCAATCAATAGTTTTATTAATGATAATTTATCTGTTAATATATGATGAAGAACGTTCTATACACATATTAATTGTTATTTTTGAGTTCATTTAAATATGGACTAAACTTACATCTTATTACTCACGTAAGTTCAAATTATCAATCCAATCATATGATACTTCATTCGATCAAATAATTACGAAAAATTAAAATAGTTATTTAAAATAATAATAACATATTCAGTATAATATTATAATTGAATCTGATAAAGAACAAAACATGAGAAGACCTTGGTGCCTTTGCCTTTGGTGTATAGTTTAGCAACCAAAAAATTCCATTGATTTTTCTTGTTGAAGATTCTTACAAAGAGTTTAAAGTACACTTTTTCCATTTTGAATCTTTCATTAATTAATTATTAGGTTTTATGTTTAGTATTTAATTTAATTAGATGGAGTTTTTTTAAACATATAAAAGTTATCATCGAAATATAAAACTATAGTGGAATTAAATTACGGAACATACTTATTTGAGGCCATTCCTCAAATAGTATACCTTTTAATTTATATATACATTAAAATCAAACAAGAAAAAATATTATTTTCGTAGCTTTTTAATTTCCATTTTTTTTTTCTTTCACTTCACCTTTGAGCAATCAACATTTGGGCTAATCTCGAAAGGAATGGTTGCTCCACATTGTCCAGGGATACTAGCAGCGCGACTAAGTTCATCGTCCGTGGCTTGCGATGCAAGACTCTTTATACACGAGCACGTGCTCTGATGATCTGCGATAGTAGTAGCAGAAGCAATAACAGATTCAAGTCCATTACAACAATCTGTCGAGACTATTCCACCAAACAAGACATAGTTAAGACATGGCTTAACACCATCGTACACGGTGTCACACGTGATCACCGCCTTAGCTGGCGGTGGTGCCGCCACCATGTAAATGATCAGGATGAATAAAAGAAGCATTACTCTAGGGCTAGTGGCCATAATAGCATTTGTAGTTTAATTTGAGTAATGTGTGAAATAACTATGTATGTGGAGTAGTATTATTTATATTATATTCTTACGGATTAGCCTCACTTAGGAGTTTATAGTATACAAATTAATGATAATTACAATGATAATATAAAAGTAGGGGAAATTTCATATATTATTTTCATTTATGTAGATTTCTTCGAAGTAAAATATTTGATATATAATTGAATATGATGTAGGACAATTGACTCTAGTTTACATGGGGTATTTTTATTTATTTGGTAATTTTTCTTGTTCTAGCTAGCTATGCTATTTTTATTACTATTATATATTGAATTGTGTTAGGAGATAATACTATATTAATACATTAAAGAATATTGATTGCCTAGACTAAGATCTAGATTTCACTATCTAAATTTGATTATATTTCATTTGATTTAGGATCATCTAGATCTTTTCACTTATATTTAGGAGTTCTTTGTCTGTTTTTATTGATCATATTAGTTTATTATACAGTGATTGACTATGGAAAATATCACCACCATCTTATGATAGTTAGTGCTCGATCTTATAGCTTCCGCTTCTTAAGTGGTATGATATAGACAAGCTTAATTTAGTTTTGGATATTAATCAAATTGACTTTCGTAAAGTGAAACGTGACAACTATTTTGAAACATAAAAAGCAATAGAATAATGCTATTTGTAATGGATAAAGTTTGGTTATTGTAATGTTAACAAAAAGATTTTATCAATCACAATAAAAAGTACCAGGCTTATTAGGCATATACCTTTACATACCTTTGAAACTGTAACCTCTTAATAACAACTTTATTTTCAACAAACCATGTTATGACATAGAGAAATTAATACATACCCAAATTTTATTGTTTGACTTGGGCATCGATTGTTAGCTGGATTTTTCTTGTTTTGCTGTTAACTCTTAATAATCCATGTTTTTATCATGATTTAACGTTAATATATTATAAGTCTTATGATTCTTGAGAAAATATGTTCAACAAATCGTAAAATTTAAAGTGTTGGTTCTACCTTTTCTCTACTAGGTAAATAAGAGCTCTATAGGTCACTAGCTAAGTCGTCAATCCATCCATCAATCGGTGTTTCTTTATTAAATTCACGATTAATTTTATTATCAATTTCTAGTAGTAAATAACAAGGCAAATAAGGACATTATACAAGGCTCGAGTGTGTCCCAATTGATCAAGACAACCCATAAGATATGGTGAGTTAAACTACATTTTTTTTTATCATGATGTCTGGACCAACTTGTGTGCATCTTTACTAATTTTACAATATATTTGCCACCTCCACAACAAACAACTACATCTAAATCTCATAATTTTCAACCTCTGACTTCATTAACCACTCGGTTATATTACTGATTCACATCTCTCTTTTTTTAAAAAAGAAACAATTAAAAAATATACATTAAATCAGTAATGATAAAAGGGCAACTTTCACATATAACAAATAAAAAATTCATATTTGTATGCTATAACAAGTTTGCATAATTGCACTATATAGCAAACATAGAAACTGTACAAATGGCTATACATATACAGTTGAAGCAAATTGTATAAAATGAATTGTATAAAACAAGAAAGAGAAAGACACTTGGGCAGAGAACTGTATAAAAGCGAAGTGTATAAAACGAATTGTATTATTATAAGTGTATAGAACGATTATATACAGTTTCAATTTGTATAAAATGAGAAAGAGAGAAAGACAAAAGAGACTTGACCAGGAATATACAATTGAATCGAATTGTATAAAACGAGAAAGAGAGAAATTAGACACAATTTGAAAATTGTATAAAACGAGAAAGAGAGAAAGACAAAAGAAACTGGGTAGGGAAGTACTTTTATTGTATAATTATAAGTGTATAGGACGAAAATATATGTACTTGCATGTGTATATACAAATTTTTCACGATTTATACAAAATAGAAACACAATTTATACATTTCGCTTCTGTTTGTATAAGTGAGAAAGGCAAGGGTGACGAGCGATATTTGGGAGAGTGGCGAGCCAGATCTGGAAGAGGGAAGAGAGGGGAACAAAAATATATGTATTTATACAATTTTCTCTGCTTTATACAATTAGAAACAATTTTTATACACTTGTGTTTGTATAAAAAGTGAGGAAGCGAGCGAGATATTGGAGGAGAGTGGCGAGCGAGATATTTGGGAGATAGGCGCCTGACAATTTTTTGCAAACATTTGATATGGAGCATAAATAAATTAAACCGTAGCTATTCTATTTATTTTAGGTTATTAGTTTACTATTATATATAATTTTCCGATGTTACAATGTGTCCCATTAAGGGAAAAAATACAAATACTGTTGGTTTACTGGACTTCTCCGTTTATGAAGGAATAGTTTACGCAAATAAATATATTGGGCCAGGTTTGCGTCTGGGCTGGCCCATTTCCTAGCCCAGATCACGATGGGTTTTTGTAAATTTCCAAACAAAAACCCTAATCCTTCATTCGCCATCGCAACAGACGGACAAAGAGCAGCTTGAGAGGGAGAGGGAGAGAGAGAGAGAACGGCACTGAAAATGGTGACCTTCAAAGTAAGGTGTTAGACATGCTTTTCTTTTCCCATTTCTCATGGTTCAGTGGTTAATATTAGCGTTGTTTCTTCTCTTTGCAGTTTCATCAGTACCAGGTGGTGGGTAGAGCTCTCCCATCAGAGACCGATGAACACCCAAAGATCTACCGCATGAAGCTTTGGGCTACCAATGAGGTCCGTGCGAAATCCAAGTTCTGGTGAGTAACGGTCCACTCAACTATTCATTTTTGGCGATGATCGCATTCTTAGTATTAATGTATAATCGCCGAAGTAGCTAGTGCATACGAACTTATTACGGTTATGTATAGTTTTAAAAAAATTTCAATTATATGTTTAGTTTAAGCTTAATGTTTGGGTACCAGAATCATATTATTAGGTAGTTTAATGTGTATTGAGAAGTGATTATACTGAATGAATGTTCGTTGATTTACTGGAAAAAAGGTATTTTTTGAGGAAGCTGAAGAAGGTTAAGAAGAGCAACGGGCAGATGCTTGCTATTAATGAGGTATGGTGTGTATATTTACACTTCTATGTGTGTGTCTTTCATGGATGGATGGATATGATTTTCAATGCATAAATATGTCTTTTTATATATATTTGGGTTTTCATGTCAAAGCTATGACATTGAAGTATAATTAGCAATCAACTATTTCTCAACACTGGATTAGTTGGATTTATCAGAGGATCATGTTAGTATTAGTTTGCCACTAGTTTATTTTGGGCTGGTGCTTTAAAAAAGCTCACATTGGCAAGCTGTTGTTTTCTCAGTTCCTCAAATTGATTTTGTGTTTCGCCAAACATCTATTGCCTTCTTTTCTTCATTATTTTTGCATCTTTTTTAGTCAGTTAATTAGGAAAGCAAGAACTATCTTGTTGGATTTGTGTACCTGATGTCCTAGAGATGAGCTCTAGACTGTCGACCTGCCAAGTAGAGTGTAAAGGACACTTTCGTTAAGACCCTGTGAAAACAGTTCTCTTTATACGACATGATATTACAGGTATAAAAAACATGTTTGGAAACCTTGTGTTGCTAATGTCACTTGCTATTTTTTCTATGTTGATTACATATTAGTCAATTTGAGGGGGTTTGCTGGGTTTATCTTCCGCTTGCCAGTTTTTCTTCAACAACAGTGTCCAAGCCAGCCTTCCTGGCTTTATTCATGTTTCAAACTTTTTTATTAGGAGCCACCTTAAATGATTCCTGCTATTACAAGTTGCAACAACTCTTATTGTTGAACTGCTCTGCCTAGTTTCCTTTTGGAAGTTTTTAGTTTTACCAGAATGCATCGGTTTTGAGTTGTGCAGTTGCTTTCGTACAATTTGCTGGTGATGCTTGGCGCTCTTAAATCTAGAACTTAACATATATATATATATATATGTATATACACACACACACACACACACTCTTGCTATTTTGCATGACAAAAGAGGTTTTTCTGGTGATATTACTCATACACACACACATCTTGGAGATGATGGGTCAAAGTTTCTATGACAAGTTTAATGATGGAAGCAATCATTATATTGAGGGAGCAAGTTTGGAAATGTGTGTTTTTTATTGATAAGTCGATGGGAGATTGGAGAGTGAGGGGCAACTTGACCAAACACCCCGTTGAGGAATTTTTTGAACTTCACTTTAAAGTGGCATAAGACTTTTTTGTATGATCGACTGAAATATTATGTTTTTCTCTGTAGATCTTTGAGAAGTATCCTACTAAGATCAAGAATTACGGCATTTGGTTGCGTTATCAGAGTCGCACTGGGTACCACAACATGTACAAGGAGTACCGTGATACCACATTGAATGGAGCTGTGGAACAGATGTACACAGAGATGGCTTCACGTCACAGGGTCCGCCATCACTGCATCCAGATCATTAAGACGGCCACTATTCCAGCTAAACTGTGCAAGAGGGAGAGCACCAAGCAGTTCCATGACTCCAAAATCAAGTTCCCCTTGGTGTTCAAGAAAGTCAGACCACCATCCAGGAAACTCAAGACTACTTACAAGGCTACAAAACCCAACTTGTTCATGTAACATGTTCGGTCATAAGTTTATTGAGAAGCAACTTAGAATTCATGCTAATTTTGTTGCACTAGTTTGCCAGTTTGGCATTAATGGAAACATTTGTCCTTTTTTCCTTATAACTCTAGGTATCCGACAGTTAAAAGTTTCTCCTTTCTGAGTTCTTAAGTTGTTTGCTTCAACAGTTCCAGTTCCAGGTTATGTGTTCTGTCATGGTTGGTTTGTTAATTTTTTGGAATTTTGTTATTGTTTTGTGATTGCTGCTATTGCTACTACTATGATACAATTGGTGTCAACTTGATGCTTAGAGTTGGGTTGCATGGTACCACTAGTCTGATAAACAGATGGTATTGGGCAAAGAAGCCAATGTGACCATTTTCTCAGATAAACGGAGAATGTATGGTGAAATTGGCTGCACTTTGGTTGCCCCTTGTGCTTGTTTTAGTTTCATCTTTTGGTATTGATATTCAAGCAGAGTGCCATGGAACAATTCACGGCGGAGCTACAGTGAAGAATGGGGGTTCGGGTAAACCCACTAGCTTTTGTGTAGATTTTATATTTGTACTAAAAATTCCAGAATAAATATATAAACTGGAGAATGCCCCAGTTGTGTGGATGCTGGTTTGCGTCCCTTACAAATAGGTTTGAAACCTAAAACTAATGATACTGCTTGCAGCCTCTGCATGGGGAACAATGACTTAGCCAAAGTTGTGTTGATTTAGTATGGAGAACACAGAAATATCATTCTGGGAGTTGTACCATATTTATGAAATTTTAGGAGAAATCTCGGAAGCTAGAGTATGTGTAACATTAGACGAGATGATGTGTACTCAATATTAGAGATTGGTATTTCCTCTACTAATTCAAAATAAAAATAATACAAACAAAAACACATGCTAAATGAGGGAAATATATAAGATCCATCACACCAAATACTATTTTATTGGCTAAGTTGTTTATTTTTAAACATAACCAATTCTCACGATTTTTTTTTTTCATTTTACCATTTTTACTCTTATGTTACAATTAGTCTA